AAATGGGAATTTGGGATGTGTTTGTATCCTCTGCTCCTAAAACTGAGCAGGCAGGAAATGAGCAATGACTGGAAAAAAAGGGAAAGGGGAGGAGATTTTTGTCACTCAGGAACTTGTTGGCTTTTGCTCCCATGTGCTGTTTCTTTCAGTGGTGATAAACTCAACAAATCTGAGATTTTTAGGTTCACAAGGAATGTTCCTTCTGCAGTTTAACATTGGGGTTTTGGTCAGTATTTCTCTGGAATTTGTAGTTTTGGCATGCAGTGACTTGTGGGTTGAATACTGGTGTAAGATTTCCACACAATTCCTTGTTATGGCCAATTAGAATATATTCCATTTGAATTGCTTCTCATATTAGGAATTTATTTCAGGAATGATACCTGTTCTTCACACCCAACCTCTTCTCTGTTCATATTTCCCAATTCATTTCTTGTAGTTGACAATCTTGATAATCCCATTTTTGTGCACACCTCACTCCCCAAACTCTGAAAACTTGGTTTTTGTATTTATTTGTTTGTTTTTAGGAGTCTTCAGCTCCTTAATTTGAGCAGTGCTTCTGCCTTTGGCACAAGAAGGCCTTGCCCATCATCACAGGAAATTTAGTGTCAGGCTTTGACTGAACTGGGAGTTCACTGGAAGTGGAATTGGCTATAAACTGGTCATTCCTCTGCACCATCTCAGTTTTGCTAGAAAAAGCTGATTTTGTTGTCATACAGGATGTGCTTCATAATTAATGTCTGTTCCTTCTGATTTCTGCATTAAAAAAGAAAAATCAAATGGCATTTTGAGGGTTGGAAATTGTGTTATTTAGAGCTTTGATGTGAGAGTGGATCTTTCTCTTCTGCCCAAGGATTACCATTGCAGAAAGAGCTTTCTCTTTTCAAACACCAGTGAGGAAAGATTTGTGAAAATGAAAATGAAAAAGGGCAGTGAATTGTACCTCAAAGTCCTCAGGAAATTCAGTTTGTGTTTGTTTCCATCTGAACTCCTCGCAGGTGTAACTTGGTGTTACTTGCTGAAATTTCCAGTTTCACTCATAAATAGCCCAAAACATGCATGGCAATGCAGAATGCTGTGGTTTATCCGCCATACCTTAAAAAAACCTCATAATTATCTTTATTATTGGTGTTTCTCCTCTCAGGCAGAGAGGAGGGCTGGGTGCTGATGGTTTGAACACGTGTCCTGCCTTATCTGCAGCACAGCCTCATATCTGCTTGGCTTTGTGGGATATGTTTTAAAAAAAATATTCTTCGAATTAAACCACACCTATCATTCAAGGGCTTTTTTGGACACGGGATGGCAGCGAGTGATTCACTCCCATCTCATAAAAATAAATAAGATGTGTCAACCCTGGCCCCCAGCCCCTCCCTGGGATGATTCAGTGCAGGACCTGTTGGGTGCTTTCCCTCATTCCCTGACACTGCTGATGGTGTCATTTCACCTTTTTTTCTTTTTTTTTTTGGTGTGTGTGTGGCTTAAAAGACAGCACCTAAAAGCCCTGTGATTATTGAGTGTGACCTGATTGCATTTTTCCAGCTCCCATTGCCCTCCTGCCTGCTGACACCGAGCACAGCACTGCCAGCACCCTGAATAAATCAGGGCATTTTTGTGCTTTATGGCCTCTGGGAGCTGAGGAAAAATGAAAATAAAATAATTACATAACGATTTCCATGGCTTTGGGTAAATAATGGTATTTATCACGGCGCTGTTAATTTTCCTAATTGAGAGGAGAATGGGGATCTCATCCTTGGGGGGAGATTTAGCACCTGGATTGTTGGAGTCATGATTTTAGCTCAGTTTGCTTCACAGGATTAACACCATTGATAAATGCAGTTTGTTTTAAAATATATTTAAATGCAGTTTGTTTGAATTTATATTTTAATTTATATTTTGTGAGAGGTTATTTGCTGGAGCACAAAGGCTTCTCTCAGCTGAAGTGGCAGAGCCAGGCTGCTCCTTTACATGGAAAAATTAAATGTTTTCATTTCCAACTTCAGGGAGGGAATTTTTCCCCAATTATTTGTCTTCCATTTGTCCTATGGAAGACAAATAACTGGGGAAAAAATAGGAGTCAGCAGCTGAAGATGCAGCAGAATTCTGGTTCCACATCTGGGCCAGGGAAAACTGGTTTTGAACACAATTTTAAGTGTCACTAATTCACAGCAGCTCAATCTCCCAATTCCTGCAAAATTTAAAATTTTAGCAGGGTTTTTTTTTTTTATTTTCTCTGCTTTTTAGAAATATTTCCAAGTGCCAAGGGAAATTTACTTTACTGGTCTT